GCTGACATAGTCTATGGCCTAACAAAGGGAGTATCACTGATTGCCTTCTTGAAGGTGTCAAGTGATGGACTGCTGCAAGCTCCTAACGGGAGGGCGTTCCATTGGACTATGGTTAGGGGGAAGAAAGAGTATTTGTAAAAGTCCTTATTGGTAGGGATTTGCCGAAAAGATAGGAGGTGGGCATTTCTTGATAGTCTCGTTTGGTGGACTACATATGGTGGCGTTTGGATTGCTACTGTCTGGTAGACTATTTTATAAAATAAACACAGTCTGCTTTTGGATCTTCTGTGTGCTAATGTTTGCCAATCCAGACTCCCTAACATGTCTGTTACACTGTCCAGAGGGGGAAATTTGCCAGACACCCACCTAGCTGCTCTGCGCTGGACCGTTTCTAGTTGTTTACTTTGATCTTGGGTGTATGGGTCCCAGACACAGGCAAAATATTCTAATTTAGGGCGAACCAGTGCCGTGTACGCTGCAGCCTTTACCTTTTTGTCTTTCACCTTGATGTTTCTTTTTATATATCCTAAAGTTCTGTTGGCTTGGCTACTTACATTTTGGATGTGTTTATTCCAGGTCAGGTTTGATGATATGGTGACACCAAGGTATTTTGCATGTGGAATAGTTTCAAGTACATGTCCGTGTAGCATATATTCTGTGGGGATTTGCGTCTTTGACCTGGATATGTGTATTACCTGGCACTTGCTCGGGTTAAATTCCATATCCCACTGTTTTTCCCATAACTGTAATCTGTCAAGGTCTTTTTGGAGTCTGTATGCATCTTGTAGTTTACTTACCGCTAGGTAGATGGCAGTGTCGTCTGCGAAGAGACGCACTGTTGATGTTATATTTAGTGGCAAGTCATTAATATAAATAAAAAATATAAAATGATGCCACTTTTATTTTCACTTTAGTATTGTTTTTCTGTTTGATTTACATTACGGGAAAACAATTGTTTTAAATTGAAAACATTTATCCATTCAGAAAGAATTAATTTCTTTCTAGTAGAGACATGCAATGTATCCTGCATAGAATCATGCATATAGGTAGGCGGATATACCATCAGAATGTTTAAAATGTGATAAGTAATTATTTGGGACTACACTCTATGTAGTTTGTCCACTGTCTAACCAATTGAGCTACCTGTTCATCGGCAATTGTACAGTTCTGCTAGATCGTCCCTTCTTTAACAAAGTCTTCAACACTGAACACACAAGACCCGAAGCTTTCCATGGGTTTATATTTTGCGCCAAATGTAACAGGAGAGGAAGGTTGCAAGGCCTGATCGATATTTGAACCCGGGCCCTCCAAACTCTAAATAGACGTTCTAACCAATTTGGCTACCTGGTTGCTGGCCATCAACCCAGTCCACTTCCATATATGTATAGATTGTTTTCATGCTGTTGTGTCCATTGCATGACATTTCCTGTAGTATGACAGGGGTTGGAGTGCTTATCAAAGCAGGTGCCCTTATTACCTATAAATGTAGCTGGGCTTGGACAATCGTCTGTGACTTGGTAGCTTAATTGGTACAGCGTTTGTCTGGAGTTTGGAGGGTCCGAGTTTGAATCTTGGTTTGACTGGTTACATTTCTCCTTCGCCTGTTGCATGTAATTGTTTTAGAAACCTGTCTATACATTACATGTACATCTGACTCCTACTGACCTCTATGTACTATGATAGCCCTAGTGATTTCTGCATTTCTTGGTTATATTAAGAATGTTCACAGTAGTATTTTAGGCTGAACAAAATTAAAAAAAGAGACCGAATTCTTAGCTTTGATGGCCCAAACATGATAATTTCTACACAACTCTCAAAATCTGATGAAGACTATGTGTCTACATGTACTTAAGTTCGTTAATTTATTGGAATTTGTTTTGTTTTCATTTCCAGAATACAATTTTACACAGCTGGAAGGTTGGAATAGTTCTTACCAAGATGTATACACAAAGAGTAAGTGTAACAATTACTGTGTCCTGTAGATTAATGTTCCTTAATTTATACTTAAACCATAATACTTCAAGTACATCATTACATTTGAAAGTTTTCAAAATAAAATACGTTTTCCGAAACTTATTGTCAATAAAAATGCATTTTGTTTATATTTTTACAGTTTTAGTAAAGTATGGGTCTCTAATAGGCCTTTATCAACGAGATTTTAAACCCTATGGTGGATTAGCCAATATCAAGGTCAGTATTGCTCAACCTGTCTATTAATGGTTAAGAGGTTACTATGGTAAGAGACACCTATTTCATGACTTTGTCAAAGATGTGACTTTAAGGTCAGTAGGTTATACTGTACAGTATCGGGTAATTTGCTGACACTGCGATCATTAGAACCACCTTTATAAGCATTTTAAGGTGAATTAGGTAAATGTCAACTCAACATTTGTTTTCAATGAGGTCTTGGTTTAAATTCTGACACTGTCACACCCATATTATTTTAAGTAGAACCTTGTTAACATATTGTATGTATCTCTGTAACTAAACAATTTTCTTGTGCCCAGGGTATTTTTTTGAAAGAAAAATACCTCAGCTGGGCCATAATTGAAAACAGTTTGGTAGAATAATTGTGAAGTTGACAAACTATGGCAATTAACACAGTAGTCTAAATATTCTTCATTTTTATTAATATTTTATCTCATATAATCTTGTTGACAGTTTTGCAAATTAAAGAAAATTATTATGAAAAAGTTTAACTTTTCATTTGTGTGTCTCAATAGTGTTGATCATTTCCTCATAAATATTGTTATATTTTTCTATTGTTTGGAAAATAATTGAGGGGCCGCGGTGGCCAAGTGGTTAAGGTGTCTGACATTCTGCTACCACTAGCCCTCAACCACTGGGTAGCAGGTTAGAGACCTATGTGGGGCAGTCGACAGTTTGGTTGGTGGTTTTTCTCCGGGAACTCCGGCTTTCCTCCACCATCAAAACCTGGCACGTCCTTAAATGACCATAGCTGTTAATAGGACATAAAACACAAACAAACCAAAATTGGAAAATAAAAATGTTGGATTGGAAAAAAATCTTGTTTTTATATTGAGAAATTATGCTTTTTCTAGGTCAATTTGACACCACAGATAAAGCCCTGGTGCCGTGATGATTTTAGCAGTGGATACAATTTGTTGTTTTGGAAATATTTATGGAAATGGAGTTTAAGATAAGATTTCAGTAACTCATATTTATATGCCTCATAACTAAACATATCGCTGTTGTTTTGATTTTAGTTTGACACGGGACAGATGTTAGTTTGTGAGTATTTGGCTCCTGATAATCCTCATATCAAACAGCCGCTGAAGGAACAAAAAATCTTTAGTATATGTATCAACAAAAGGGGAGAAGCTGAAGTGTCGTGCCTGAAGGGATACAAAGGACCGCACACCTGTAAACTAATACGGGTAGGACAGTTTATAAGTCAGCTTACAATCGTTATTATTGAGTTGGCTGTGATTATCTATTACTGAGACAAACCATGATCTGTATTACAGCTTAATATAGTCTACATATAGCTGAGTCATGACCATTATTACTGAGACACAGTTTGATTATTACTACATGTACCACTTAATTTCACTGATCTATATTGCTGAGTTAAACCATGATCTTTATTATTGTTATTCCTTTTTGTGTGCATCAATATAAGTACATGTGCATGGCATGCCACATATGTCATCGCTTTCATATGATATTGTGAGCCCTGATTTATCTTTTTTATAGTGTACTTTATACTCTGTATTAATAAAAAATAATATTTTTATCCCAGAAAAATCAAAAGTTGAAATTCAAATGTCAACACATTGGACACCATCGACACCCAAGAGGAAAGGAAAAGGTGAGTTGACTACGTATTTCAGTGCTTAAAAGTGTGATTATTATATCAACCCAGACCATGTAATACTATACTCTAGGCAGGTGGGGTAGTAACAAGCATAAATTGTCTGCTGAATCTAAACCGACAACCCTTTCGGCAGTAGGTTGGCGCACTTCCAACTACGCTATGTGGCTCCTGGCTTGTTAGCAATGTATAGTCCAGTTTTTAAGCAGGTTATCAGAAATTGAGCCATAGAGGATGAGGAATAGATGGTTTAGATCTCACCCTGAATGTCTTTGTTTGATTATTTTCTTGCAATAAATTGTGCATCTTTTGGTAGTGCTAAAACCAAACTAGTTTACTAGGATTAAAGATGGTACTTTGTGCACCAAGATAGTACATAAAAGTACACTGCAAATTAAGGATCCCTGTCCCACTGCACTGTGTTTTCTTTTTGTATATACAGTTACCTCCCCTTAATTTCGTTTTGGATGTAACTGTAGCATAGCTGGGCCTGGATACTTCCATTGACAGGTAACTCAGTCGGTCAGAGCAGAAGTATAACAATCTGAAGTCCAGGTTTGAACCCCGCTCTAGCTTTTTTCACACTCGGAGCTCTGTTGTCGATTATATTTCGTTAATTCCATCTTTACTATTTTTGCAGTATATGGTTTTCCTTTCAGAAATGATTTATCAAGGCTATAGTCATGCTGGAAAAGTCAGTCTCCAATGTATAGTAACAGTTTTTGGCAGTGGTACGGGGATCCTTAAGGTATGTTCTAAGGACCATGTATTACCTCATGGTTTCTGGTTTGTAATTTCAGGAATTAGAAGAATGGTTGATTTCCAAACAAGAGGATTTCTCTGATTTATCTGTCATGAAATTTGAAGAATCTTATCTCCAAACGTAAGTATTTATATTTATAGAATTCTCATATCACTTAATTGTTACAATCCTTAATTTTTTAGGATGACGTGTGACATACCGTATTTTACTGCGAATAAGCCCCCCCCCTCCTGAGAAAAAAGATTGGCCAAAAGTTGGGAGGGGGCTTAATTTCGAGCAATCCCCCTGTTCACAAATGTCCGCCATCTTGGATATATACTACTGTTTTGATCTATGACCACACTAAATATCATGTACTTATCCACTGGTTGTTCATGTTGTAAAAATAACAACTAACAGACAGAATACTAATTCACCCCTGAATATACATTTGAACTCTTCAAATTCAAAGGTTGGAATAGTTCATTATGAAATTTCAAGGGTGAATGAGTTAAATATTCATTGATAAAAAATTACATTAAGATTTCAATTTGTAGATATGTAAAGAGGCAGGTTTCTGTATATTGGAAAGATGTATCAACAGTACTAAGTAAATGTAGACAACTGCTGTTACTGCAGATCTTAACATCACAATAACTTACAGTAATTGAGCGAAGCAATATCCAACTGAAAATGGAAATGTTTAAGCTCACCTGAGGAATTTTGTTTTAGAGGGAAGTACAAGTTTGAACCTATGGATTTACCTCGCCCAATGAGAAATATACCAATACAACCAGGATTGTTCAAAGGCCATTACGGAGCTCACGGCATAGAAATCATGCACCTTAGTTACGACTCGGAAATGAAAAATATCCTGGTCTTGAAAATAACTGTGAGTACTGAATTTCATCCCTTTTCCCAGGATTTCAGACAAACCCTAAAATAATATAGAATTGATCAATGTTTCGTCCATCCTCTTGGTTACTCGAGTTGGAAAACAAAACTCCCATTCTAAGTTACAAAACGGATGGCTGTCCAGAAATTGTAAACAAGTACATAAAAACGCCTGGACAGATGAATGTGCAAGTTTTCCAGAATTCAGAATGATTTATTTCAACCTTCCTGACCAATGATAATATTATATGTATATAACATGAAGAGCAGATTTAACTGGAACCTCATAAGTCTCTTCTGTATTAAGATCATCCAGACAAAAATACCTGTCCAGATGTTTTTTAAGTGCTTTTGTATTGTAAGTCCTGTAAAAATCAAGCTAGAAAATAAATTATTTTATTATGATCTTATTACAAGACAACAAAATAGCATTTTTTGGTATGTCTAATGTCTTAATCAGTAGACATACCAGCAAATGCTATACTGCATTGCAATAAGTCGATCTAGGATGGCTATTACCAGGCATGGGGTTATTGCTAAATAAATATGGTAGTCACTTTATATATATATGTCAAAAAGCACAGATTTTGCTGTAACATTAACCTTTTCACTACTGCAAACCATGATGGACTCACCCACATCAATGCATGGTAGAGTCTACTCAAGTTACATAGGGGTGAAATGGTTAAGTCTCATCTTGATGTGTTTGTCTGTACAAACTAGGGAGATGTTAATGTCCCCGCAATGAACGTAAGCCTCTTTGTGGATCTTCACCGACCAATGGTACTCAACCTCGAACAACAGGAGTCAATGCACATGCTGCGAGAGATGGACACGCCTGACATTCCCGAGGAGAATGGGCCTGGATTTGAACCCAGACATCAGCCATTCATGATTCCTACAGGATGTTTCAACAGGGTGCAAAATATACCTCAGCGTTGTAAATACAGGTGATTATCATCAGAGGGGAAAAGATTCCAATGCTCTAAGTATAGATTGTTTCAATGGTAGAGAGTCATGAGTTCAAATCTTATCCGGTATTCTCTGATAACAAGTGATGGATACAAGAATGACCAATAGGCATGAAGAAAAGGGAAGGATTTAGCAAATTGGTATTTCTTGAGGTAGGAGTTTCTCCCTCAAATATCAATTATCATTTCCTATGTACATCATGATTGAAATTAAACTCAGAAAAGTGAATGTCTTCTTCAGTACAATGTAACAGTGGTTGAATAGTTTAAAAATATTCATCTCAAAATGTCTAAGATAAGTACACTTATAACATGAATTTGTTATCTTTCCAGATTCCATGGAAAGGGGCGGATAGCTGGACATGGCTACCACAATCCTAGTCTAACACCAGGGCACTTTGTAGTGTTTGATGACGACACCCTAGGCTTTATGTGGATGGAACTTCTGTCATTTAGCATGTATTCTAGGGTCACGGAAATGTTTGGCTGACCAGATCAATTTATTCTAGAGCCATTGGCTGACCAGATGAATGTGTTCTAGAGTCATTGGCTGACCAGATGAATGTGTTCTAGAGTCATTGGCTGACCAGATAAATGTATTCTAGGGTCACTGAAACGTTTGACTGACCAGATACATGTATTCTAGGGTCACTGAAACGTTTGACTGACCAGATACATGTATTCTAGGATCACTGAAACGTTTGACTGACCAGATACATGTATTCTGGGGTCATAGAGATGTTTATCTGACTGCATACATGTATTCTAGGGACATAGAGATGTTAGGTGACCACATGAATGTATCCTAGGGTCATGGAGACATGTGACTGACCACATTAATGTATCCTAGGGTCATGGAGACATGTGACTGACCACATTAATGTATTCTATGGTCGTTTTTGGGATCATGGAGACATTTGGCTGACCACATGAATGTATTCTGGGGTCATAAAAATGTTTGGCTTATCTCAATGGCTCAACAATATTTTCAACCTTTGATTAACAATGGTTATCCACTCCTAATAGTCAGGGTACACCACTGCCACCAGAACTTTAACCTAGTTTTTGAACAGTTAGTCTATGTTAAATAAGGCTATAAGGAAATTGTGCATTTGAACATTTCAGTCACATGAATGTTTCAGTTATTGAATTTTTAAACAGATAATAATTGTCAGTTTGTGACAAAATTAACAAATAGTGTACGTTGCATTTATTCTCAGTATGCTACTCTGAGTCAGTAGAGGAAATTGTGATTGACTGGATTCAGAACTTTAATAATAATAATAATAATATACAACATTTGATATATCGCCCTATCTAGCTAACATAAGCCACTTTAAAGCGCTTTACAGTACATAGATATACAATTAATACAATTAGCATATACATTAATCAATACAATTTTGAGACATCCGCAGGACCTGCCTTATCAGGCGCTAACTACTGGTCCTATGCCACCTGGCTAATATCTCCCTATGTGTGTATGCCTGCATGTGTGCTGGAGATGTAATGTGTTCTGTTTGAAGTTGGACTGTACTTCCAACAGCATCATTTATAGTATCACCTCATTTGATTGCTACAGCACCGATACCGCAACATCCACCCCAGACCATTTTATACTCCACCTGGGTTGTTGAAGTTGTGTGGGCAGGAGAAAAACACTTTCTCTGAATATCGATGCGTACCACGAATTCGTGCGTGGAAGGCCGGAGTGTTAACCACTCTACCAATCCGCCCATGTGTGTTTGTTTAGCCAATCACTGATGTTTAGAGTGTTGGACATTTTAATTGTATGACATTTCAAAACTTTTTTTTTTGGTTTAAACACTTTGAGCGGATTAATCCATGCAAGTATGAGCAGACTGCTGAATGTCCTTTGAGCAATGTCCATCTTTAATGAAACATTAATGAAGCATGATTATGAATTTAAAGGTGTTAGAATGTTTTACTATTATATACTGTATTTATCATGCAATAAGCCCAGGGGCGGGGGGGGGGGGGGGG